TTTCGAGAAACTTTTCAAAGGATCAGAGAAATGTTATACTGCTGGAGAAAAGGAATGCCCAGGCCATCATAGAAGCCAAGTTCGCCACTGGAGGCATTATTTAACTGGTTAGACTTTTTCACCTTAAGACTGACCAAACGGTCTGTGATGTATATGTTCGACAAGAACGCACAATAAGTAGGATAAAAATGACTATGTAATACGTGGAGGGATGAACTATCGTGTTTATGACTTTGATATTCTGCTACGAGCTGGTTTCAAGAGAACATCTACACCTGATGCATTCTCTAGGTCCCACTGTGGAGCAGCATTGTCATGATTTTGCAATCACTCTCAGCTCTCCACAAGGCTTTGTGTCAACCAGGAGTTACACGCATTGTACATTTGGTCAAATCAAAGAACATGGCCCTACTCAGTGGAAGATGTGCAGCAAGTGATCAGAGCATGCAGAGTTTGTGCAGAGTGCAAGCCAAACTTTCATCAGCAGAGAAGACTCATCTCATAATATCCACCCAGCCTTTTCGAATGAGACTGGATATAGATTTCAAAGGACCCTCTAAACAAGCACCAATCAGGTATTGGTATTTTCATTTAGTCATAGTAGATGAAATATTCCAAGGTTTCCCTTTGTGTTCCCCTGTGCAAATATGGACTGCTGCATCTGTTATTTTAGTTGTCTTTGTCTCAAGTTGTCTGTACTTTTTTTGGTATGCCAGCTTATATCCCATTCAGTACAGGGGGATTCCTCGTATCATGAGTAACGATCTTCAGAGGGTTTTTGACTAGCAAAGGTATTGCCTTGCAGCAGAACACAGTACAACCCTCAAGGCCAGAATGGTATAAAGTGGAGCGGTTCAATGGATACTATATGGAAGGCAGTTACAATGACATTGAAAAGTTGCGCAATTACCTTGTTCAACCACTGGCAAACTGGTCCTAGCGTGATGCTTACAACTCTATTAGATCATTGCTGTGTCACAGCTACTAATGCAACACCCATCATGAAAGACTCCTAACTAATTCACATCGTTCCTCTACGGGAGCCTCGGGACCACTTGGTTATCGTCATCCTGGACCGTTCTCCTGAACAGTACATAGGATGAAACAAGGACAGATCCTTTAGTGGAAAGAAGGTTAGAGCTCCTGCTAAGCATAATCACATTATGCTACACTTCGCCCACAAAAATGGTTTGATAGAGACTACAGTAACTACATGAAATTTAGCCACAGTTGAAATCCCCATTAGTGTGTATGGAATCTCTCAAGATTACACCAATAGAGTGAAAGATGCTTGCGTTTTCTCCTGGAAAGCCCCTTGAGCTACCCTCGGAAAATTAGAGGATTTGCTCCTGGCAGTTATAGTCATATACTATTTATCACCCTACTTAACCACACCTTGACACTCCTCATTCCATCACAAAAATATTACTACATGAAAAAGCGACCCACTCCTCCACACCACATATCCCACACTCCCCCAGTAAGCGACGCGTCTATCCCGTTTAGTTTGAATACCACACCGGACGGTAAAATGCCGTGAGAAAACGATACATACAGCCCGTACACGAGGTTGCAACCTCATTCACTACTAACCTATTCCATATTCTTCCCATGCTACATGGGGAAAATTCCCTCTACAGCGCTACAACCCTCCGTATAAATCTACACAACCTACTATTTATCTTGCTGGCTCTCGATCCACGCCAGAGCCCTCAACACTGTTCAAACTCATGACAACTCAACGCCTGTATACATCTCGTTGCATTCTGTTATGGTTCCTGGACAAACCCCCCCCACCACACTTTCCCTAATCACCTCCCTTTTATGAAGGCCATTTGTCCCTCCGCTTTAAGCCAGCAATCCCAGCCCCCCCCTTATTACAGGTAACATTACCACAATCCCTTTTAATCCAATCTCAGCTCGAACCCCACAAGAATTTAAATACCTTCCTAAGTATGTTCGTTTTATTGCTGGCCCAGTTAAAGGGAACACGGCTGCCACGTTGCCATACTTTGCTATACCAGTAAGATAATTAATAGCTATGGCACGCTACTCAAGGGTCAAATGATAAGGTCGCAATGCACCCAATCAGTCCTGATTCTTTCTACCATCCTAATCGAGTTTTCCGGCGTGCCCAGTTAGAGCGTCTGCATAAATCAGTCGCAAATTTTTTAACGAAATTCACCTGCCTAACCTCAACTCGCACTACCCCAATCAACCCTACCGGCCCAAGCCTAACCCATAACCATGGATTTATCTGAATTTACCTAATACCAGTTGGCCCCTGGAACTTTTTTACTACCCGTCTAATTGTGTCCATTGAACACATCACCTCCCTGATCAGAACAGTTGTATCATCCACCATACCCAATTAAAACTGGCCAAACCCTCGCAACCTCACACCCTGGTTTTTTATTTTCCCTTACGTGGACTACATACGCTTGCTCCACCAATTCTATAATAGGGGTCCTTGTTTGCACGCAAACGATATTGTTGACATAGGACACCCCTGCCTATTCCCCTACCCATTACAATTTCTCACCCAATCGACAATTAATCTGTGCCCTCGCTATTGCACATCCATACAAACGCTCAACCCAACCCACTATTTCATCCCCAAACCCTGACCCCTTGAGGATGGCTTTTAATGCTTTCCTAGCCACTCTATCGTATGCCCTTGCCATCGAGCGCCACCAATCTCACCTCCTCCCCCTCCTTTTGACTCCACGAAAAATCCCTAAGTAACCATGCCCCTCACTTAGTCCTCACGGAAAACCCAAACTGAGTTTTTGATACTACCAGCCCACCACACACTTGACCCGATTTCCCAAAATATTCGCAAAAATTTATAATCTGCGCATAACAACGAGATCGCACGGTACCCGAAGCGTATGCTACCCCTTACCTTTCGTACCATTACAACGACAGCCGTTGCCTGCTTCTCACCCAGTCACCTCCCTCCTTTCCATGCATTTAATAACCTAACCAAAAAATCGCCTCATTAATTCCAATGCTGCTGATTAACTCTGCCGGGAGAGTCCATCAATTCCGGTGCTTTGCCCTTTCGCATTCCACTTAAAGCCCTCCATATTTCTCCATCAGTTATTTCCCCAACCACGTGCTTCCCTATCACTGTTACGCTAAACTGACATACCACACTACCACACACTGTTCTTAAAACCCCACACTCTACCCCTTCTCGTTGCCAGTATTCTCATACCACTTGTCTGCACAACGCCCCCATTCCTTCCGTAGCTTTTATGACCTGCCCCTCCCTGTACCCACCCCTATCGACTCATTGAACCTCCAACCATGGAATAGTCATTGATGATGTCGTTGTTTTGCCTCACGCAATACGCACGATGGAAGGTCTATCGCCCCATTAACACCTTTTCCACCCCCGCCTGTACCCGCACCGCTTGGAACCTCATCATACTGTTACCGCACGCAGTCTCCCTTTAATTGCCATAATATCATCAATGGGATAATTTGCCCGCCCACCGCCCCCCTCGGCTTAGCCAACCCGTAATATATCTCCAAATTGTTAGCAAGCCATATTTTATAGGAATTGTTACGGTTCCCTTCCTTTTTGTAATATTGCTTTATACGTTCTTTAGCACACCATCACACCACATCACAAATACTCTCCCCTGTTATCTCTGCACCTTAACCCCTCCCACACAGCGTTGCAAATACCTCTATCCCCTCCTAATCACTACAAACTTGTATTTAATTTCCAATAACCCTGATATAACCTGCTAAGTGACTCCCACGCCACCTCTGCTACTTACCGCCCGATGATCCGAATAATACTAAATTTTTTGTACGGAAAAATTGTCAACCAACCCTTGTGATATATACAGCCTATCCAACCTAGAGCTGCGTATCCCTCAGTCTTACAAAAGTGAGTTCTAACCTCCCACGCCCTCCTTCAACTGCATCCCGCAATGAATATCTCTCAATAGATCTCGCAAGGCCGCCCGACACGTTGCCCCGCCCCTTTTGGTTTCCACGTCAGCCCTCCTAATAGCGCAGTTCAGTCTCAACAAGACGGCCCACTGTAGGTAACCCACGTATGAAGAAAACTAGTCTTCAATACAAAATCCTTTTTACCTTCACATCATTTTCTGCTGGTGCTTACACACTTACTAAAGAAACCTCTGCCACATCCACCACCCCATCCACGCGTCAATAATATTCTTCCCCCCCCTCCCCCCTCATTTAGCAACACAAACGGGCTCGCCTCCCTAATCAATATCCCCACACCACCTTTCAGTCGTTGCTGATGGCAGAGTCATAACCTGAATCCCCTCCACCTCGCAGCACTCTTCCCCTCCTTGAAAATGTGTTCTTGCAGGAAAACAATACATCCATCCTATATTTTACAGAAACATTCGAAAACTTCTTCTTCACACTATTACACAAATCCCCAATTGATGTCACTGTTCATACACCTATGGCCTCTTTTATAGTTTCCAACCCGTCCTCTCATCTTTCATTCATCCCTAGGGCCTCCTGCCACCAGAGCACAGCACAAGGCTTCACACCATCAACACCCCCCCTTTGTTTTGCGCTGCCTTACTTATCATGACTACTTCGACTGTGATCTTCCCTTCCTCCCAGACCTCTGCGCCGGCGTCAGGACTATTCTTCCAGTCTGACGCCGCCGGCTCTCTCCTCGTGATGCCTTACATCCATGTTATCTTCTGAGGTTCCCTCACTAGACGATGAACCTCAACTCCAACACGCCCGTTCCACCAGCACACGGCGACAAACTCTCTTTACTACGCTGCCCGTCATACCATGCTATGTTTTTTATACTTACATTTCCTATACAGGCAACGCCCGTGCCTCTCCCGCTCAGGAACATCATCCCTGCAGGCGGTGTCAATGTCCTTAAACACTTACTGAAGAGCTCTTCCTCTAGAGCCTGCACCTCCTCCTGCACTTGCACTTTCTGTACTTTTCCTTTGTGTGTAACAGGTCCTTTTACATCACAGCTTACCTCAACATGCAAGTCTTCCTCTTTGGATTCCTCCACTCTTCTAACTACACAAGCGCCCAGGCCCTTGCTTTCGCACTGGGCTCTCAACAGATATCACGATGGTAACTGGTGCTTCACCAGTTGCGCATGCACCCTCCTTAAGAGCTTCACGCACCTCTGCCGCCATATGGTCGTTTTGAACCAATATTCTGCACGTACGTCTCTGTCCGGCCTACGATAACCATAACTTGCGTCCTGAAGTCCTCCAAACACGACGTAAGACGGTATTGGGGGGGATGTTCTCCCGGAGTCATCTTCAGGGAATAGGTACACTCCGGACCGTTCCATGTAAGCACCTGCGTCCCACTTGCCCTTTGTGCCAGTTGTACGGTCCCATATGTCTCAAAAAAACTCCTTTATGTCAGCTCATCTGCCTCAAATGGGTACTTTACGTATCTTACCCACGTAAAGTGGCGAATACGTCGATCAAACGCTCCTTCACAGCTGGAGTAGCGTCAAGACTCAGGTCTTGGGAATCTCGTCACCAAGACTCTACACGGACGTGGAATTCTATTTGACGAAGATTCTATTAAGCCCCATTCAGGGCTTACACCACCTTACACCTCATCGTCCTGGATTCCATAGGTCTCCCTAATGATTGTTGGGAGTTAAGACTTGCACTGAAGAGGGTGTGGTAATCGCCCCACGATGAGCTCATACCAATCCCCCCTAGAGTTATTTACGCGCCTCCTCACACCAGCGCCATGTGATATGATACAAGGTAGCTCGCCTTGAAACAGCAGAGGGGTGCAGCGCACAAACCTCACGCGACCGTGGTCAGGCGCGACTGATGATGTAGAGTTCTAGTGGTACAATAATCTGCCCTTTGCATTGACACCAAACCGGTAGAGGGGTACGACCATAATTATTAAACTTTAAAAAGAATCGACGCTCATTAAATATATAAAGTATACATAACGTCTGACCAATGACAAAGGCTCTATACAATAGAAAGGGATATATATATATAAATATAACACTCCCCAACACACACGGGATTGAATGGGAAACCCTGGAGCCCATGGGGAGGTCCCGAAAATGGAGAGCCAAGATGATGGTTGTGGTACTGCGGAGAAGCTCATGCATAAACTTGTTAGAGTCACATACCAGGAGAGGAGGTGAGGGATGAACAAGCTAGGTTGGACCTTGTATTCCATGAGTAGTAGTTCGGACTCGAGGGGTATCATGTTGGAAGGCCATCTGGAGGCTAGTGATCATGTAGAGTTCTGTGCTTCCGACTCATAGTTGAGCTCCTAGTGGAGAGGAGAGTAGCAGGAATAGGCTGGGTAAAACAAACTACAAAAGGGGGAACTACTCAGGCATGAGGAACTTCTGTCAAGACCATTCAGTGGGAGAGGGAACTGACAGGAAAACCAGTACAAGAAATGATGATCTACGTAGCAACAAAATGCAAGGAGGCTGAGGAGAGGGGGGGGGGTTTTTTTGTTCCAAAGGGAAAACAGAAATAATGGGAAGAACAGAACGAGTCCTTGGTTCACCCAAAGGTGTAGGGAGGCAAAAAACTAGGTGTACTAGAGAATGGAAAAGGGTACAGAAGACAGAGAAACTCAGGAAAATAAAGAAATCAGCCGAAGAGCCAGAAAACGAATAGGCACAGATAAGAAGGGATGGCTCAGAGACATATGAAAATGACATAGCATTCAAAAAAGGTAAAGACTGACCGAGCTGTTGTACAGCCACATCAGGAGGGAAAAACAACAGTCAAGGTGACCATGTAAATCAGACTGATGAATGGTGATGGGAATCACAGAAAGTACCGAGAGGTTATTGTCAGGAGCCTCATACACAAGATTTAAAGAGGTATTTACAGTGGGAAACCGTAGAACTCCAAGAATTCAGAACAGGGGGGCACACCAGCAAAGGGCTGGATGAGGTACATTATAACCAAGGAGGAGGTTGAGGAAGCTGCTATGCGAACTTGACACCTCAAAGGCGGTGGGACCAGACTACATATCTCCATGGGTCCTTTAAAGAGGGTGCAGAGATATTGGTGTGAGCCATTAACAAAGATCTTACAAACATCATTTGATACTGGGCAACTCCCATGAGGTATGGAAAATGGCAAATTAGTCCAATTTTAAAAGGGAGACAGAAATGAAGGCCACTAAACTACAGAAACTGTATCACTAACAATGATTGTATGCAAGGTCATGGAGAAGTTCATCAGGAGGAGAGTGGTGGGGCACCTGGAAAGAAAACAAGTGTTTAATTGACAACCAAGCACGGTTTCAGGCGGAAGGGAAAATTCTGTGTCACAAACCTTCTAGAGTTTTATGACAAGGTGACAGAAGTAGATAAGAGGAGAGGGTGGATCGATTGGTCCGTATTTTTGGACTGCAGAAGGCTTTTCGGACACAGTTCCTCACAGGCGGTTACTGCAAAAGCCTAGAGGACCAGGGCAAACATAAAGGAAAGGCACGCAATGGATCAGTGAATCTGACAGGAGGCAACAAAACGTCATGGTACGGCGACGAGGTGTCAGAGTGGGAGCCTATGACAAGCGGGTTCCACAGGGGTCTGTCTTGGACCCTGTGCTGTTTTGGTATACGGCGAACGACATAAGGAAGGATAGGGATCTTCAGAAAGTGGTCCTTGTTTGCAGACGCATGTGAAGTTAATGAGAAGAATCGAATCGGACGAGGAATTCAGGCCGGACTACAAAGAGGATTGGGACAGGATACAGCCTGGGTCAGCAAACTGGCTCCTTGAATTTAACCCTGGCCAATTGCAAAGCATGAAGTTGGGAAGGGCAAAAGAAGACCGCAGACACAATATAGTTTAGATGGCCATAAGACTGCAAACCTCACCAAGGGAAAAGATTGGGGAGTGAGTATAACACCGAGCTAGCTCCTGAGGCGCACATCAATCAGATAACTGCTGCAGATACGGGCGCTGCCTGGCAAAACCTACGGATAGGTTCGATACCTCAGTAAGGATTCAGTTTTAGGTCTGTACACAATCTACGTCAGGCCCCACTGATATGCTGCACAGTTTGGAATCCACACCTAGTCAAGCACGTCAAGAAATTAGAGAAAGTGCACAAAGGTTTGCAACAAAGACTAGTCCAGAGCTACGGGGATTGTCCTATGAAGAAAGGTTGAGGGAAATCGGGCCCCTGACGACACTGGATTGCAAGGAGGGTCAGGGGAGACATGATAACGGGACATATAAAATACTGCAGGAATAGACGAGGTGGACAAAGACGGGATGTTCAGAGATGGGACACAGACCAAAAGAGAGGTCAACAATTGGAAGTTGAAGACATCAGATGAATTCAAAGGATGTTAGGAAGTATATTTCTTCAGTCAAGAGTAGTCAGGACCATGAATTGCCTTGAATGTGATGTGGTGGAGGCAGGATCCATACATAGTTTTAAGGCGGGTATGATAGAGCTCATGGGGCTGGAGACGAGAGGACCTAGTAGCATTCATCGAAGAGGACGGGGCCCCAGGGAGCGTGAGACTCGAACCCCTGCAACCACAAATGGTGAGTAAAAATAGGTGACGTACACCCACACACCCCACACACACACACACACACCCATCACAAACCACACCCACACACACCCACTACACAACGCCCACACACACAACACACCACACACACACAACCCACACACACACACACCCTCAACACACGTTCACACAAAAGTTTTCTCATTATAACATATTAATAGATGCACTCTGTATGCTACAAACGCATAACAGTATCCTAAGATATCTCATCGTGCAAAAAACTCTCCACGTAACAAACATACAAACTAAACACACTTCATGTCCAAATCAACTTATTATCTGAAGACATCGTGTTATACAAGACTGATACACATCAATTTATACATAATAATCTACTATTTTATACCTATATTCTGAAAAGTGTTGTTTACATCTAACATAATGAGACCTTGAGCTCTACGTCCACTTGGCTGCCATAAAGTCTCATTGAAAAAACAGGATCCTTTCATACACACATTCACAAACACAATCTCACGTCTCCCCCCCATAGAGGCGAGCCCGTTGTGACCCTGACTCCCTCCCAAACCTATGTAAACCCTTCACTCAAATCATTATCAATCACAGATTTACGATGAAATCCCTAACGTTAGATTCTATACCCCTATGAGAAAGCCTGATCCCACATCCTCCTTCATATATCTGTTTCGACACACGTACGATAGAATGTTTACCGCAAGAACCTTTCTTTCTCATATATCCCCTCTCCCCCTCATCACCACGACATATTTATATTATCTACCATTGATTTAATCTAAAGCTCTTATGGAACACCCTCGTCTAACCCCCCGTATCTAGACTTAAAGCACGCGAACCGACACCCCACGGCCCCCCCTCCCTCTGTACCAACCTAACTTAACCAGATCCTAACCTCCTCTTGCCTTCACAAAAGTAAACTACATTGACGCAGTCTCATCCCCTCCAACAGATACCACACCCTCACCATTCTACAACCTGTCTGTTTCGTGTATTCTCACCAGACGGCAGGATCCCATGGCAGGAAACGAAACATCACCTCCACGCAACCGAGGGTTTTAGCTTCATTTTACCTAAATCTAAACCAAATACTATTCCATCATACATGGGGATCCAAACCCTCAACTGGGATATATGCACCTACCTACAAGTAGCTAACCCTACCCTTATACGAACCCCCCCCCATCCCAGTTCCTTAACCAACATCACAGCCCTCAAAACGATTTTTGATTCCTAACTCCATTCCTCGAACCAACACACCAGCCTGTCGTGTATCATTCCCAACTGCCCCGCGTTACTACCTCATGCAACACTTCCCATTAATAAACACACATTTAGCCTCTCGTCTCAAAATCAATCAACACAAACCCCCACCCTGACTTTCAGGTAACTTTACAAACTTCCCCACTCCGTACCAATCACCAACGTGAACCCCACAATAAATTTGTACCACCCGTCTGAGAATTCCCCGCAATCGCTGTCCCTGTAATTGGGAACACAGCGTGCAACATGCCAAATTCTTACTATACAATGAAATGTTTACGACTATCACTCTCG